TATTATTATAATTTTTTTATTTTATTATTTATCTTTCTCTCTCTATCGCATCTCTCATGACTTTACTATGCATATGAATTTCGGCAAAATGGCACTAAATCTTCAAAACTGTTTCAGAAAAGTATACAAAAAATCTGACGTCTGCCAACAGGATATGGAAATATATATACGTATGCATATATGGAGTACGGCAACTCAATCAGTTAAGTGTCCGTTGCTCTAGAAACGGTTTGCTGACCGATCTCTGCCCTTTGCCCTAGCTGTAGTAGAACAACACCTATTTGCTAGATGTTATAGTGGGGAACTTCTCAGTATTTATTTCAGTTTTCTTTTTGTTTCTTTTGTTTCGTTTGTTTCTTTTTAGCTAATACTTTTCACGCGCTCCGCCAGCTGCTGCTGCTGCTGCTGCCTGGACGAAACGTTTCGACTTGCCTCGAGTTGGTGTTTAAGTCGCAGTCGAAATGGCTTTTGGTTATTATTGTATTTGATGACCTGTTGCTGATTTGCTCTTGTTATTTGTTTTTGCAATTTTCCACGTGCTCAACTTTGATTTAACTTATAAATTAAAAAAACAGCGCAACACACTCGACCACCGCGCTCCACGCCACTCCGCCCACCAAAGAGGCGAAGCGAAGCCTTTGGAGCTGCTCGCTGCGTGCGATACGGACTTAGACCTGATTGATTGGCGCGTATCGGTGCACCTTTGGTTGTTTTGGCTCCTTGCTGGTAGTCGGCTTCACAATATCCTCGCTGAGCTTCTGATACACGAAGGAGTTCTTCGATGCCATTATGGCCATGCGATAGCGCTCGCCGCGCTTGCGCAGTACCAAAGCGACCAGCTTGGCCAGGCCCATCAGGATGACCAGCAGGCAGGTGAGTGCCAAGATGGTTGGTATTAGGAAGTTGGAGCTGTTGTAGTAGATGCGACCGCGCTCAATAATGATCTCCTCCTCGTCGCTGTTCAACTCGTCGCTGTCGAGGCCGAATTTATCTGCAATCGCAATGCATTAGGAACTGTTATGTTAAGAGTAGATGCAAATCTCCGACTTACCAATCAAGAATTTGTCCTTGGTCTCCTTGGACATATCCACTTCCTCGACCTTCAGACCATGGTCCTTGATCTTGGGCTTCAGTTCGCTTTCGATATATTTCTTGACCGCATTTACGGCCTTTGCTTTGTCGCTCTTCTTAATCGGCTCCTCCTCGTCTTCACTGTCGCTATCATCATCATATTCGCTATCACTGTCGTCGTCGTATTCTTTGTCGGCGTCTTCCTTGTCCTCGCCGCCATTGTTCAAGTCTTCCTCCTCGACGCTGTCCGAGTCCTTCTCCTTCTCCTTGTCGTCGTCAGCGTTAGCCGAGCCCTTCATGATCTTCTGCATATTACTTAGCTTGCTCTTATCCAGAACACTCTTGTCCAAGACACTCAGCAATTTCTTTTCATCATCGTCCAACTTCTTCTCGCTCTCCTCGATGCGCCTCTCAAGATCCTCCTCGCCATCGCTTGAGCTGTTGCTGTGCTTGCACACCTCCTGCGCGAGCTGCGTCCAACCAACCTGAGTCTCGATTTCAATGAGTGAGGAGATATCCTCCAGATTGGCCATCGGTGCCATTTTCTTGGGCATTATCTCCGTGTGCAGCGATACATAGCTAATAAAGTCCTGGAAATCGTTGTCGCACTTCAGTGGATTGTGGGTTATATCCAACGTGCGCAGATCCTTGAAGTTCTTAATGTCCGAGGTGGAAATACGCTTGATCAAATTGCCCGAGGCATTGAAGGCACGCAGCGTATCGAAGAACGGATAGCCGACGCCGGCTTCCTTGTCCGTCAGCAACGATGTCAGCTCGCAGTCATTCACATCTAAGGAACGCAGCTGTCGGAGCGGCTTGAAGAGATGCACAGAGAGCTTGGTGATAGGATTTCCAGCCAGGTTCAGCTTAGTTAGCTCATTGTTTTCCCTAAAGACGAGCTCGTCCAACTGGGTGATCAGATTGTTGCTCAAATCCAAGTCGATGAGCTTTGTGAGGCTGACAAGCGTGTCGCGGGGCAAGTTGTTGATATTGTTCCAGGCCATCTTCAGTGTCGTCAGGTGCGGCATGGTGGAGAAGGTCTTGTGGCCCAGAGCGCCGATGGCACAGTTCGAGAGGTCCAAGTAGTAGACCGTGAAGTAGCCGTTGTAGCTCAAGAAGCCGTCAGTTGGCAATTGGCTCAGCTTTGGATTATCGTTCAAGCGGATGACATCAAGCTCTGAGTTCTTGAAGAACAGCATGCTGGAGACCTGGTCCAGTTCGTTCATGGACAAATCAATGTGGCGCAGACTCTTGAGCGTCATGAACGAGTCTGTCTGAATCTTGGTAATGCCATTGCCCTTCAGGTTCAGATTCGTGAGGCCAGGCATTTTCTCGAACATGGTGTGATGCACATGGTCAATGGAGTTGAAGCTCAGGTCCAATTGCTGCAGCTCGGGCACACCGAAGTGCAGATCGCCCGTGAATGTGTTATATTTCAGATGCAGTATCGATAGAGATGTGCCGTTAAAGACGCCGGCTGGGAGCTCCGTCAGCGAGTTGTAGGACAGATCCAATTCCTCGATTGTTTCAACCGAAGCGAATACCTTCTCGGGTATCTGCTCTAAGTTATTCTGCGACAGATTGATGTAGACAATGTTGGAGAGCATTGAGAAGGCGGTAGGGTTCAGTTCCCTTAGGTTGTTGCGCGAAAAGTCCAGCTCCTCAATGCTGGATGACTAAAATGGAAAGTGAATTGTGATTGGAGAACCGAAATAGATTTAAAGATCATCCCCAACATACCTTCAGCAAGTAATGGAACGTGGACATGAGACTCAGATCGTTTCCGGAAACGGTCACCATGCGCAGCTTCTTGTTCTGAGCGAAGGTATCGGGGCTAATGATGCCCAGGCCGACATCAGTCATGTTGACGGCATAGAGATCGTCCAAGCCATGGAACGCCTCTGCGTCCACATACTCAACGGTGCAATTTGCGATCTTGATGGAGGCCACGAACTTCAGGCCCAGCTTCTGGAAGAACTTGGGGCCCAGCAGGATCGGATATTTGGGACCCACATTAGTGACCACCAAATCGGTAATGTCCGAGCCAAACTTCTGAGTGCCCAAGTCCAATCTAAGAAATCAAAGGGTCAATTGATATGGAGGTCAAGATTGGAAGGCATTAATCGATCTACACACCTGCTGCAGGTGGCCACCAGGTAGCTGTTGATGTTGCGCGAGCAGGTGCAATATCTGGGGCATGGCACATTCTCGCTGAAGGTGACCTGCTCCTCGTCCATCATCTTGTCCACCTCGTCATCGTCATCGGAGCTGGAAGTAAAATTCAATTTGTACAGAACATGGAAAAGAACTCTATGTACTCATGGCCTTTATCATAAATATATAGATAAAGTGGTTCATGAGCTCATTTGCTATCGCTATCTTACTCATCGTCATCATCGTCGTCATCGTCATCGACATCATCGTCATCATCATATTCATATTCGCTATCAATGGCGTTGTCACTCAAATTTTCCTTAATATCCTTGCTGATTTTCGGCTGGAAGGGAACAGAAATTAGAATATATTAAGCAAAAGAAAGTGGAGCACCTACCTTGGGCTTGCTGGAGGTGTTCTCCTCAATGGGATGCAGCTTGGGCGTGGTCGTCTTGGTCGGCTTGACCTTTTTGGGCCGCGCGCTCGTCGTCTCCTTGACTTCCTGCTCGTCCTCCTCATTCTCGGAGCTGTCGTAATTGTATGCATCGTACTCATAGTTGTCATCATACTCGTAGCTCTCCTCGGTGCTATTCTTGCTGACGGTGGCATTCTCTGGCTTCAGGCGATCCGGCAGCATCTTGTTATAGCGCGGATCCTCGGCCAAGGTCTCGTAGTGCTTGGCCGCCTCCATCAGGTCCTTGAGTGTCTCCTCGCTAACCTCCGATTTCTTGGCCTTGGCCTTGGCCTTGGCCGTGGTCGTATCAAGCGGCGTCTCCTTCACCTTGGGCGTGGATATCTTGATGGCCGCCTTCTTGGCATCCAGCTCCTCCTCGGAGAACAGTTCATTGCTCAGCTGATCATCAGCCAGCACCTCGGCTGCTTTAGCTGGCGCAGCGGACTCACTCGAGTGACTTACATGCAGAACACCCAGTGAGATGACCAGCAGCAACACCAGTCTCGCCTGGCGACCCATTCTTATTGCTCGCTAACTGCAATGCAAGAGAGAGAAAGGGAGACAGAGTGAGAAATTATATGAATGTAGTAGAGGTAGGTAAATGCTTCAGTGCATTTGTATTTCCTCTAGTATTTCCTCTAGTTGCACAAAATGTGCCCGTGGAACTCGTTCCGATACGAAGAATGCGAGCAATTCGAAAACTTATCTTATCACCACCCACCTGAGAGATAAGCACAAAACCTTTATTAAATCAACAACTCGCAGTGCGCAGTGCGGATCGAGCTCTTTAAGAGGTAGGCAGACGGTCTCTATATGCGATATACTGATCTCAGCATCCGGCTAATATGGACGCTGCTGACGTGCATC